AAGGATAGTAGCAATTACCCACAAAACATTTTCATTGAAAGAGTATTCCTCCTTTGATACTTCAAAAATGAAAATTGATATTCATAGCCACATTCTACCTAAGGAATGGCCTGACCTAAAAAAGGTAATAAGAGTTTAGATATTCAGTGCCTTATGTTACCAGAAATCATTTCTGCCAATGTAATTTTTGAAAGAACAATGAATGAAGGAGTTTTGTCTAATTGGATTTTTTTTTTTCAGATATAAGATATTTGTATTGCATTACTTCGCAAAGCAAGAGTCCCAGTAAGAAAGGAATGGAAAACTGGGCTCTGTTTCTTGCTCTTGATTTAGTCTGAAGCCATTCTTATATTTTTGCTTGATTTTTGGTGAGACCTAAAATTGTCAAATGATGTATAAATTCTGCTTTCTTGATAAAACCAGAGCTGTCAGGTTACCATATCCAAATATTAGACAAGATGAATGTTACCTAAGGCAAAAGTAATTCACATTTTATACCACAGTGAAAGTCATTAACTTCAATAGGAGTGGGGTCATTCTAAGTATAGTTAATTGATGATGATGATCATTTTACTAATATCTGTTATTTTTTCAGTTACTGGAAAGAAGTATCATATTGTATAAAAAATACAAAATCTCAGTTGTCAGAACACTGAAGCCATAAAGTCAACTTGTCTTAACTTTGAATCTTTGCATGGTATTATTATTATTCTTCAATGACATAAATTTATTCTTGTCAGTAATAACTTTCATGATCCTGTGAAAAATATTTGAGAATGGAATGCATTATTTAGGTTTTCATGTAATAAATCTAATCCTTTTCTTATTTCAGATTATCAAAAACCAGGTAGTTGTCTCATTCTGAATTAGGTTTTAGAGTTATTGCCTATATAATTAAAATCATAATTCAATATAGAGATGTCTGATCACTTTTTGACTCATAAAGGATCACATCTCCAATGTTACAAAGGATACCGAAAAAGACCACCTGAAACTGTATTTATATGTAGTTTATACACACACATATATAAAATTAATTGCAATTAAAAATGGCGTTCAGATTGCCAGGATAGCTATTTTTTGTAACTCTCTAATATTTCCATTTATAATAAAAAATCAGAGTAGAAAGAAGAAAACCTGCATTGTTTCTTCTTTCCTTAGTGTAATTCTGTGTTGGTTGTAGTTTGAATGAACATTCCCTGTGTCTGACAGTAGTATGGAATCACTTGATTTCATTGTGCCTGGCTTTGACAACAAAAGAATACCATTATTTCAGCCATGCTTTTAGGCATCTGACATGCTCCCTGAAACTTCGCTTTACACTGTACTTTTCTTTCACTTAACTATTTTGAGGTTGATGATAGTAAATTCTCAGGTAGGTGTTTCATATGTATTAGCTCTGCTTCTCTGATTTTAGATGTGACCGTCCAGTATCAGTTCAATATTAGCCGGAGAGCAGGTGGAAAATGTAAACAGCATATTAGAAAAAAGTAATGAGAAAACCTGGCATTAAGAACATACATAGGATTGTTTCTTCATTAGTAGTGAAAAATAACATCATTATGCATAAAACCTCCTGGAAAGGAATGTTTGTTTCCTCGTTTACCTGGGAATTTATTTTTACACATCTATTTGAACTTCCTATTAGTAATTATAAGAGCTCCTCAGTGAAAAATACATATACACTGGATAATGTAGGTGAGATGAGAGATGTAGTTTAGAACAATAATGTCTGTTTTAAATGGATAGGAGGTTAAATATCCAGAGGACAAAGACGGGTTGCTCTTCCTTGTTTCAGATTTTGTTGTCCTTGTTTGTGCAGTACTCCTATAAAAACATCAGTAAAATTCCTTCATTCTGATTTTACGTGATTTTACAAGTGTTTTTTTGTCTGTGTATACTCTAAAAGGGCAATAAATTCACTGAGATATAATCACCCCCAGAATCCCTTGATATTTACAGACGTACAGCAAGGCTGAATTCACTACTGTTAGGCCCTGTAGGCCACTGTTGCATTTATTTAAACACTGATAAAGAGGCAAATACCAAATTTTTAAAAGTTAATTTCCACCTGTTAGTTTTTGTTTTCTCTGTTCTAAAGATTGAGCAATTCAATGGTTTATTAATGAGCCCAGAATAGAAAACCCTCAGAATTCTCTCCTCTGAAAATTCAAGCCGTTAACATAGTCCTATACATCTCACGCATGGAAAACCAATGAGGGAATCCTAACATGCACACATAGTGCTAAACTTTTCTTTCTTTTTTCCAGCTTTATAAATACTGAACCTTGAACCTATGACTAAAAAGTGCTATTGTCAAGATAATTATTTAAGAGCTTAGAAACGCGTAATAAGTATGAAAATGTATAGAAATAAATGAAATAAGGACTGACAATACATCCAACTAATAACTATGGGGAAGAAAAAAGAAAATAACTTCAAAAACAGACCAGTGAGTTTCTCTATTACCTACATGCTCCTTGAGCACCTTTAAGGTACTTATTTTCTGCACAGCTTACAATTGCAGTTCACATGGAGGGGGTAATGGCTTTAAACTAAAAGAGGGCAGATTTAGACTAGATATAAGGAAGAAATTTTTCACAATGAGGGAGGTAAAACACTGGCATAGGTTGCCCAGAGAGGTGGTAGATGCCCCATCCCTGGAAACATTCAAGCTCAGGTTAGATGAGGCTCTGAGCAACTTGATCTAGTTGAAGATGTCCTTGCCCACTGCAGGGGGGTTGGGACTAGATGACCATTAAAGGTCCCTTCCAACCCAAATGATTCTATGACTCTGATTCTATGGAGCTAGTGAAAACTTAAAGTTCTCATTAGGTGTCACTCACAAAATTTTACCCTAAATTTAAATATTTTATATATCTATACCTATAAATTTATAAACTTAATAAATACATAGCTATATAGCCTCGGTTTTTAGCATCTATGATTGGCTGAAGTCAGGAGGCTTGGCTCTGCACACCTACTTTAGGAAAGCTCACAGTGGCATTAAGTAATGGCTTGTTATCACAGGAAATTCAGGACTGTATTCAAATGCTTACACTTCAGTGAAAGAAATGCCTGCTTTTACTCAGTTGCCTTTGAAATGTTTCGTTACAAAAAATGGGAATTCTGAGCATTGTTTTCAGTCTATTATGATACTTCAAGATTTCCTTTATTTCTAATTAATAATTTACGAAAATAAAAGGAAATCAGCATCTTTTGTAGATTTGGGGTTTTTTGCATAAAAAATTTTTAATCTCTCTGGAAGAATCAATGAGCATCTAAGCTTCTCCTTTTTAGCTTCTCTTGGCTGTTTAAATATTAATAGACAAGGGACTGACCTTCAGTTCTGCTGCTGAATCATGGAAGCTGAAAAGTGGAATCAATACATCTTTGTGCTAATGATTAACTGATCACAGATTGGAAAATCGTCGGCTCAATATTCATATTGCCAAATGCTTGATTTAAGTTTTTTCTGTGTTAAAATCTGTTGTGGTTTAACTCCAGCCAACAACTAAGCCTCACACAGCCACTTGCTCACCCCCCCACAGTGGGACAGGGGAGAGAATCGGAAGGGTGAAAGTGAGAAAACTCGTGATTTGAAATTAAGACAGTTTAATAGGTAAAGCAAAAGCCATGCACGCAAGCAGAGAAAAACGGGATTCATTCACTACTTCCCGTCAGCAGGTGTTCAGCCATCTCCAGGAAAGCAGGGCTCCATCACGTGTAACAGTTACTTGGGAAGGTGGACACCATAACCCCAAACGTCCCCTCCACCCCTTCCTTCTTCTTCGTCCCAACTTTATATACCGAGCATGATGTCATATGGTAGGGAATATCTCTTTGGCCAGCCGGGGTCAGCTGTCCGGGCTGTCCCCCGCCAGCTCCCCGTGCACCCCCAGCCTGCTCGCTGGCAGCCCAGCACAAGAAGCTGGACAGTCCTTGACTGCTCAGCAACAACCCAAAACATCAGCACGTTATCAACAGTTTCTCATCCCAAATCCAAAACACAGCCTCACGCTAGCTTCTGTGAAGAAAACCAGCTCTATCCTGGCTGAAACCAGAACAAAATCATTCCAGTTAGAACCTCAATATAGTAAGCAACTTTAAGGACTTTGAAATCAGTTGTAGAACTTAAAAGTGTTGTTGAACTGGGAGCTAAACATTGAGTTCTACAAACACTGTTAGTCCAGTCCGGTTAAACTTCAGCACTTCTGCTGAAGCCAATGGGGCTACTTGTAGGCTCAAAGCTGAGCGTATGCATAAGTGTTTCTGCTGAATAAGGTACTGCTGGATCATAAGAACTGAGATTTTTATTATTATTGCAGAGTGCTAACTAGCACTGGCTTTTTCTTCTTTCTTTCACAGAGATACGGATATGGTGGATGGGTACAGCTGGATCATCACGGCAAGGTTTGGGCTGTTTGCTGCTCTGCACTGATCTTGTGTTGTGTACTGTGAGTATAAACTCACAGTAAATCTGTTAAAAAGTAAAGTGGCAATAAGGTTGGCTATGTCTTTGATAGAGATTTCTCTAGCGGTCTATCTTCTGTGAAGTAATGTCACTCCAAGTCCTAATATCTCTCAGAGGAACTTTTTCCTTGAGAGGTGAAACTCACATTCTCTTGTATGAACCAGTATCCATTTTTCATCATCATCTCATCTTAACACTTGGAATGGATAGCTCTAAGGAATTCTTTTCAATAAGATAGGTCAACCTACAGCAGATTATATATAGATTTTTTTTTTAGTTAAATGTAGTCATCTATATGACAAGCAAAACCAAAGGGAAGTGGTTTTTTAATATTTTAGATTTTAATAAAAGTTGAAGAACTCAGATGTGAAAATGTCTTCACATCTGAGTGAAAGGGAAAGAACAATTTCTGTAATGTCATGACAAGGAGAACAAGTAGCAGAACAATAAGGACAATCCATGGACTGGGGGAGCATTATCTAGAAAAGCAGGAGCCTGAGGTTTATTGGCAAGTAAAAGGCAGACTGGGTCTGATTTTACTTCACCTTTCTATCAGTGTCCATTCTATTAACTTTCCAAACACACTTCTAAGCTGCATTAGTACAACTGAAACAACATGTCTCCAGATGCCATGAGTCTATGCTAACAGTCCATCTGCATTCAGAATCCATCCTGAATTTAGCAGGATACATGTGTTTACTCAGCTGGGGACAGAACTGGTTTCTTAAAGGCTTGATTCTGATCTTGCTCAGAGACATTCGCAATGACACAGCAATGCAAAACTTCTGAAAACAAGATCAAAACATTGCAGTTTATCTTTTGATAAAAGCATTAAAAAATTATCAGTATTTGTGCTTTTTTTACAACAGGGCACAAGGACCTAAGAGAGGTATGGTTGATATGGCAAAATAATTCCCTCTGTACATTACTGTGTAGGTTAACTGTACAAGCTAGTTTTAGAGATGTTACCTCCGTTACCATAGAATACCCTTGGCATTCAGATATCCCTGTCTATCCATCTCAAACGTGGTCACAGGAAGCCAGCTTCCTCCTGTTATCTGTCAGCTCCCCACTCCTAGGAATCTTTTCGAGACCCTGTCGCTGCAAATGGCCTTGGCCTTCTAGAAGGAGGGAGATTAGAAAGATGGCATTAAAAAGAGTTCTCAGGAGACCTCAGTTCACTTTCCACCTCACTTCATAGGTACCTGTCCTAACTTGAAAAACTTTATCTGTAATTGCCTACTACAGGAAGGTTATGAGTTGTACAGATATGGAAGGGGTAAAAGCATTGCAAGGTATTTAGCCAGATAATTAAGGAAAAAACACGAAGACAACAGAGGCTGGGTAGGTAAGAGAAGAAAGAACAATTTGGATATAGTAAGCTGCAAGACAAAAGATGCAAAGTTAAGAGCATGAATAGCTCAACAAAGAGTGTCAGCACATAACCCACCTAAAGCACGCGAAGAGCGCAAAGAGCTGGCTGACCCCAGCCATGTTACGTAATGGCAGGCTGTGCGCACAGCGTTGTACAAGGGCTCATCTGTCTCCACCTCCTGAAATTCAGACAGGATCTCCATATAGGAATTCTATACTGAAAACTAGAGTGATAAGTGATAGAAAGATTTAGTACTTAGCATTTTCAGGGTGACAGTGCCTCTCCCTATCTGGGTGACCTTATAAAGAAAATAGGACCCAATCCTCTTCATGGTTTCTTTTCATGGCTTGCCTAATTCATTCACTCTCTGTAGAGATTCAACTTTTATTGTCTTTAGAGAAGCAGGTAACCAAGGTATTTAAATATATAGTGCCTGTTAATTTCAGTGGAACTAGATATTCTCTCATCTCCTTGTCACTTTGCAAAATCATACTTCTTTGTGATTGTATATCTGCATATATTAACTTAAAAAAGCTGATAAAATTGATACAACACTGTGTCTATTTATTGCAATGTAATGATATGCACACTGTTGTCATTCTGTAACACGCAAGGCTATGCTGTCAAATGCCTAACAACCATTAATGAAAAAGGACCACAGAATATGAAGGTTGGGACCAAGAGCGAGGAGCAAACAAAGATTATGCAGAAATTTCAGATCTGAGTCTAAGCAGGCATAGGAGGAGAGAACAAGCCACCTGCTGAATCAAAGTGTGGATGGCACAGCTTCTGAGATACATGGTAGGTGCAGCAAGGGGAGAATTGTTGGAGACGTTTTTAGCAGCTCAGCTGTTTGTTACAGGTCCATTGCTAAAATTTCTTCCTAAATATAGTTTGTAAAGGAACTTTGTGGCAAGTCAATAGCATTATACACTCTGCAGAGAATTCTGCCTAGCCTACTTCTGCCTGAAAATGTTGCATGAAAAAAGTGCATGGCAAAATAAAACCCTGTTCAGATATGTGGAGTTGGGGAAGTTATCTCTTAATATTAAAAAAAAGCAAAAGCTTCTCAAATCATTCTGTGAAGAAGCAACAGGGTCAAACTGGAAGAAAATAATTACATGCATTTTTAAAGAAGTGCAATTTGGGATGTGACTGAGTAGTTTAGTGATGGAATAATTTTAAAAGTAGCTTGCTGAACCAAATCAGCCTTCTGGACTTAAATCTTAATTTCCATATAAATTAATTAAAGCCTTAAATATGAGATAATGTTTAGAATACAATACAATGATAGAATTCTTCAGCTGGGCCCTTAGAAAATTGTGTTAACCTTGCAACTAAAAGTCTCATGAGATTTTCAGCACTGCATCCATTGCTTTCGGACCTGAATTTTTTTGTCCCGATCCATGTTTCATTCTTACTACCGCCAAAAACTCCGATAATTGTTTCCCAGTTGAGGTGTCTGAGTAATTTCTCATTTTAAAAGTATCAGGTGCAGATTAGTGGCAATGTCTAGAGACTATGGCAATATGACTCATTTTGCAGTCACAGCGTTGCTGGACCAGATCTTTACATCCTTACGTACACAAGCATGAATCTGTTCAGAAGATGATGTTTTGCTTTCCTGCATAATCAAGCTTTTTGTTGCCAACCTACAATGCTGTGAGCTTAGCCTTGACCTTAGCTTGTTCACAAAGAATTGGTTAATGCAAATGAAACTAATTCCTCAATGAGAACAGCACATGGCTTATTAGAAACCTTTCCTATATTGCAAACCCTGTTCCTGCACTCAGAGAACAACTATTTATCTCAGCATTTAGGTATGAGCACTGTCAAAGTTGCCAGTAAAATTACAGTCTATCTAATATTGTTTTCAGTATTAGCAGAAGAAAATATATATGAGCAGGTTAGCTGCTATAACTTAACTATGTCTGGGGAAGGAATTCATTTGCCTGTGTTCACAGAAATAACAGTAATCCAGTAAAGTCCACACGACCTATTTGTATACGATGCAATGCTCAGTTCTACTCTGTCTTTTTCTCTACTCACACCCCAAATATTTTTCTGTTTATTAGCCAATCTGCAGCAATATGCTGATCTTTTTTTAATGTATTGGAGTGTTTGGCTAGAGTAAACCTTTCTGCCAGGTTGGAAAATCAATTTTACAAGAACCTCAAGTATTTTACGAGAGGATCAGGATTATGTAGTTGTTATTACTGACTCTAATATTTCAAATAATTTTCAGAACCTGTGGTACAGCTAACAAGTAACTTGACAGTTTGCCAAGGCAGCACAGTTAGATCTGTTGAAGAGAGCTTTAGAAAATTAATTAGGGAAGTGTATTTGTGAATGATGTATGAAGTTAATAACAGTCTGATTTCTCAGAAGGAGGGGACAGAAACCCAGCTCTGTGAGTAGTGAAATTTTATTAGTTATTTCTGTTTTAGCATGCTAGTAGGGAATATTCTCATTTAATAGGTTTTTTTATTTAGAAAAATAATCAGGATCCTAAATAAACTGATTTTGTGAGGAAAAATAAAGTGGCGTTTGGAGAGAGAGAGAATTCTGTTTCCAGAAGGGTCAGAAGACTTCCCTGCACTTAGCTTCTATTTACTGTGAAGGTGAAGGAATAGCTGCTGTGTTTTCTCATGTGGTTTTCAAGTTTCAACTGCAGATGCAATGTGTTCTCTGTCCCATACATCTGCTGTGTGACCACCCTTACCCATCGCAAAAACACAGGGTCATGTGGATCTTCTTTCACCCATTTCCAGTTAACTCTATAGTAGCTTCAAGCAACCAAGGAATACTCAGGCCTTGCAAGTATTCATGAATTGTGTCTCATCAATTTGGGTTAGGGTTACATCAAGTGTAAGCCAACAGAAAGACAGTGTTGTCTGTCTTTACAAGTCCATAGAAGCATGGGGATACCTACAAGTGTAACAGGCTATTTACTTTGCTTAATGTGATGACATTGTGCCTACTCAACCTCTTTGGACAATTGATAAAACAACCAAAAATTAGGTTTAAAAAGGAATTTTCCATGTTCATAGTTAAAGGAACAGTATTAAATTTCATGTTAAATATTAAATATTAGTTTAATAATTAATAATTTAAATATTAAATGTCCAACTTTACAAGTTTGGGAATTGGTGGCATGTGGGGAAGGTATTACACTAATTCAAGTAATGGTTTTATAGTACGTTTAGGTTTTGTTTGGGGTTTTTTTCCCCAAATACAAACTCTTCAATAATTCTTTTTTTTCACAAGGAGAAAATGTAATCTGACAACACCATAATAGGTCTCCTTTCGTCCCAGTATCACTGGTGATATGAAACAACTGGACTGAAATTAACAGAGTTGCACAATTATTTCTGTAGTTACTGGAATCATCGTGATGCTATTGACTTTAAAAGAACACACACATACCCAAGGGGAAAATTTAGCACAGATTTAATTAGAGCATTGTTTTGAGGTCAAAATTTGGTTTGAGGATAAATTTGGATTAAGGTACCTGATTTCTTTTCCAAACAAATGTAGAGTGATATACGTTGCAAAAGAAAGGGGATTTTTTTAAATATGAGGAATTAAATCTGAACTATAAATGACTGCTTTATTAATGACTATTTTAAAATAATCTTCAATTTAAAATACCTACTGAATAAAAATAAAAGAACAAAATTCTGTCACTGAATTTCTGTAGGGAGCACAATATACTCAAGAGACTATAAATTAGCATGTACTACTTTGTCACATTTATAATATATGAAAATGTCATTTCACAGGGACAGGCAAAGATGATGAAGGATGGAAAGGTTTTTAGAGTTATTCAAGAGAACTGCTGGGATCCAGAAGTACGGATTAAAGAGATGGACCTATCAGGTACTTCCACAAAGGAATTAAAATCATTGTGTCTCATTTAGAATAACTTCTCCGTTAGTGCATCTGAAAGTGCTCAATAACAATATCAAAATTAAAAGGTTTAGCATACTGATTCATTAGTTTAAATCTGTTAAAAGTCGGTGAAAATTGCTATGCGTTATATTCAGACTGAAATGGGACATGTTCCCATAACTTTCCTCATTTTCAGTAGCTATTTATTGCCCACATGAGCTCACTGATTTTGGTGGGATTGTTAATACGGTAAGGAACTAGTTGACACAAGTAAGGATGACTGACTGTGGACTTCAAAAGGCAACATACATTCCACGTATAAAAGTGATTTACGTAAAAGAAAGAAAAAAAAAATTTTTTGTTCCAAATGTTAAAAAGATTCTGTTTACTCATAGGATTTTTTGGTATGTTTGTTTTCTTTTCTAATTTTTTTTCTGTTTAGGTGTTGCAACTTCATTCTCTATTTTTGCTAGAGGACTCTGAGCCTAGAGAAGTGGTATAACTACTTTCTCAAAAAAAGAGAGTTTTCCTGATTTAGAAAGAAACTTAAGCAGATGCCAAATTTGCAAATTTTATTTCCATCCATTACTTACATGCCACTAAATAAGGTTTGTAAGATGGGAGACTGAGAATGAGAGAAGGAACTTTTAGTCTGATAGTTATTTTTGTTAGTTCATATTAACACTGTAATTCCAAATTACTTTTGTCAGAGAAATATTGTTACCAAAGATTGTTTTTTCTTAGACTGAGGCCTGAATAATTCCCTACATCAGTTTCTCAGTAGACACAACTTGAATATCTTCTCCAACTTTTCATAAGGAATAAACATCTGAGTTACTTCAAAGAGCAGATATTTTATAAGTAGCATTTTTATGGTTACTGTTTCCTATTGTTCCTCATGGGATAGCATGATAGGAGATGCTTTGGGTCATCCTCTTTATGGAGGTTTACTGCAACACACGACATAGGCCAATTTAGGAACTCAAGAGCTGGTGGGCAATTCATGTGAACACAACTTAGATAATTTTCAGCTACCTCATTTTCACCCTGGAGAAGCAGTATTTCAAACCCCAACCATTAGACATTTAATGAGAATGCCAGAATGTCTTTGCAACCTCTCTGAAATATGCTGCCTTGACTAGACTGTAATCATTCCCTGAGTTAGCTCAGGGATTTTGGGGATTACTGTGTGATTCAACCACAGTGCGGATCATGAATAGCCTTTGGGCATCTTTCCCTTTCAAATATTTCCCCCAACACTAATGGCAAGCTTCTACGAAACAATTCTGCCCCAGGTATTTGCTGTGGACAAGGGGGAAACACGGGAGCAATTTTTTTAAATTTTTGCAACAGCTCTCCAGAGAAGAAAATGTATCATAAAGCCAACACCACAGTATTTCTCCAAAAACTAAACAGAGCTCACTTGGTTAAAAAAAAAAAATCCAGAACTGTGTGTTACAGCACCATCTTGTGACTTCTGCCATGAAAATGTCCCCTTCGTTACAGCACTCCAGAGATACAGACATCAGCCAGTTAAGTGTAAAAAAAAGGTCGTAGTGTTTGTGGTTTTCATTCTCACTGTTCTTCTAATGATAAAGACTGTGGGCCACATTGACTCTTTTTCGATTTACAAAGCTGTAGCTACTTACCTCAAAGACCGTTTTCTGTAACACAGGCCGAGATAGATTACACCCCAAAATTCAACCTGCAAACATGGCATGATTTTGCAAGGAGTCTCCCCTGAACAAAACTAGTATCAGTCACTGTAAGGTGTTATTAACTCAGACCGATACCTTACCGCTTGGTTGCTAAAAGGCTTTGTTTCTGCAATGCCCAAGAAGTCTTGCCAGTAATAAGAAATGGTAGCCCATGTACCGAAGAGACTGAATTGTTCTCATAATCGTATGTCCTAGGTCTATTTGGTATACAAACCTGTGTCTTGGTCCACTCAATAAAACAAGCTATCAAGGTAATTGTTTTATAAACAAGCTGTAAAGGTAATTAACATCACAGTTCTGTGGCACAAATCATCACAGTTGTGTTGGTGAAAATCTTTCAGTTAATCCTAACTGCCTTTTCTTATTATTTTCTCCTTTGTAAAATGCTCTGAAGAGGGTATAAAGTAGAGGGTTTTCTGTGCTGATTCTTCTTCCTAAGACTAGTGTCTAGGAATGTTCAGCTTGGAAATTTATCTTTAAGAGTCACGTTAAATTTGCTCAGAAGTGTAAAAATGTATTGAAACCAGATACAATGCTTACTGTGGAAAACATCGTGCATATTCTCAAACATACTAATCAAGTGTCCAGTAGCGTATTGGTGGATAATACGACTTAGGCTGTACTTTGGTATATATGTATATTTGTAGACCTAATCCTTAACCACAAACCATTGCTGCTGTATATAATATTAATGAGATCTTATTAGAGAGATGCCTGAATCAGCTTCCCCTCTTGTTTCCTACTTAAAAGAAGTAGAGGAGGAGGGTAAATTATTTTGTTAAACATCCGAGTGCTCTGGCAAGGTCATTGTCTTAGAAGAAATTTTCTTAGGGTTGGGGTTTTTTTTGACATTTTTTGCATTAGTTGTTTTGTTACTAACAACAAAGTTAAATTTTTTAAAGCATGACAAAATATGTGCATAAATACCACAATCAGACCTAAAATTTAAAAAAAAAGAGTTTTGCATGTAACTATTTAGTGGAGTCCTAATTATTGTTTATTGTTTCTTCTGCTTTTAATCTGCTATGTTTGTTGTGTTCATTCCTGTAACCTGTCACACACAGGTTCTGTTCTGTGTTTGAACAGAAACCAAACAGCATAGACTTAATTCTCATTATTGCTAACATCAAAGTTATTTCTAAAAACAGACAGATTTTCTTATACTTCCAACCTCAGTAGTCCAGACATAGGATGAATGAAACTTAACACGATATAGCTTTGGAGAACACTTAGGAAAACATTGTTTAATAATCATTGTTAACATAACATTGTTTATCTTTAGTCTAATTTACATATTTATTTATTAAATGTATATGATAAACGTGTCCCCAAAGTAAACTTAAGCTATTGTATTCTGTTGGTTTAACGTCACATTCATTTATGTGAGAGTAACATTAAATTGCTATTTTAATTAATAGTACATGTGCATACCAAATACTTCTAAAATCAAAATACTTAGTTTCACAAAATAATCTAGTATACGAGTATGAAAGTGTTCTTTTTCTTTCTACTTAGCAAAAATATTCCAATCCTAAAAAACTGATAAACTACAAGTTTATTATCATGATCCTCAATTAGCATAAAAAAGTTAAATGTTAAATGTAAAATCAATCTTTCTTACTATTAAAACTTTTACTTCCTACCTTTCAAACCAAAGTGCTTTCTTATTTTTAACATTCTACCAAAAAAACATTAATGACTGCTTTTTCTTATCCAGGAGTCACAGTCCAAGTCCTTTCCACAGTCCCTGTAATGTTCAGCTACTGGGTAGGTTCCTCCTAGCATATTTTGTAATTAATATGTTAAAAAATTTTTAAAAAAGAAATGCATTCTCTTATAAATTAGGTGATAAAAGTAGTCACTAGAGCACTGAAATAGATGGGGAATTGTTCTGCTGTGAAAAACAAAAGACAAAAAAATAGACCAGGTATCAGAAGAGCCAGCAGTGTGTCCTGGCAAAGCTCCACTCTGGAGTAAACCCAGTAAGAAAGAATGAGACAACAGAATTTCTGCTGGGGACCTTATGGGGGTAGCTGAAAACTGGGAGAGAGAATTTACACAGCATGAATCCATGGTTAGCAGGTAGACATATATGTACAGATTCCATGAAAGCTAGACATCAATTAGGATTTTCTCATGTAAAAAAAGAAGGAAAAGATACATTTGTGGTCTTGTCCACTCTCTTTTAAATGTGGCCTGGGACTCATTGACCTAGAATGCTTTGAATCTTAAAATTCAGTGGTAAATTTAAATTAATATGTACCCTGCAGAGTGATCTTGAATGCATCAAAGAAATAAAAAGTCTGAGAAGACAAATCATAGCAAAATAATGTTCTGAATACATTCTTGATTTGACTATTTAGCTATGTGTACAAGCTGAGTTGTTATATGTAAACAGATATGTAAAAATCATTGTGTTAAGCCCACATATAAGCAGTACAAGTGATCTTCAGAATTTCTTGTTGGGTGACATATCTTTAAAATTTTATTCTGCTATTTATGGGAATATTTTCTATTAAATATGTATTAGGGGAAAAAACAGGAAACTAACTGTATGGATATTGCAGTTCCCTTATTAGAATTATGACTGTTATCACCTTCTGAATGTTAGAGAGTTTTGCTCATGTTTTCTCTGTAGAATTCTCATGCTCCAGCATCGCATATTTCTTATTTTTATCTCTTCAGCTCCAATAATAGGAGAGTAAATATTCATTGCTATGTTTAAGAATTATATGCTGAGGTTTTTGCATTGAGATAAACAAAAACAGAGGCTGGTTTACACAAAAGACCAGATACTTAAGTGCATCAGCAACCTGGGCTTTGTTACACTCATCCTGAGCAGTAAAGGCAACAAAAGCTGATAAAATATTCAGGGCAAGAAAGAGAACTGCACCCAGAGGTTTTAAAGCGAGGCAGAACTTAGCCATACTGATTTCCAGCCATTCAGTACTGTAAAGTAAATTTTAGGTTCAAACCCTGTCTCTGAATTGTTTGCAGTGACATTTATCCAATATCTTCCAAATGTGGTAACATTTAAGAACTATATTTTAATGAACTATTCTGCTTAATATCTTACCAGGCCAAACCTCAGGATACTTTAGATCTAGCCCAGATATTAAATAATGACTTAGCTGCTACAGTAAAAAAGTACCCCAAGAGGTTTATTGGCTTGGGTACATTGCCTTTGCAAGCTCCAGACCTGGCTGTGAAGGAAATGCATCGCTGCGTGAATGAACTTGGATTTCCTGGAGTACAAATAGGATCTCATGTCAATGAATGGGATCTGAATGCACCAGAACTGTACGATATTTATGCTGTGAGTACATGTTTCTTACCTATAGAGCCAAAGCACCATACAGAATTATGCAAATGGGACCAGAAGTTCCAAACTGAATGTATTGATTATAAAATAAATTTATAGATTGCATTTCTTAAATAGCCTGAGGTCCAGGTGAGGATGGTCATTTGTCAAAATTATGCGGTTTAATCAATGTACATTCTGTATCTGTTTCACAGGTTGTTATAGCTGTCAGCTTGAAATTGATCCATAGAGGTTATTTTTCCAAATGCTCAATTTATTCAAGAATTCTGGTAGTACAGCATTTGGACTATTTGTTTTTATGGTCATATACACTCAGTTATCAACTTCCACTCTTGGAGATGCACGCATTCACAGACTCACAGCATGGCTGAGGTTGGAAGGGACTGCTGGAGGTCATCTGGTCCAACTTGCTGCTCAAAGCAGGGCCACCTAGAGCCAGATGCCCAGGACCATGCCCAGAGAGCTTTTGAGCATCTGCAAGGGTAGAAACTCCACAACCTCTCTGGGTAACCTGTGCCAGTGCTTGATCACCCTCACAGTAAAAAAATGTTTCCTGATGTTCAGAAGGAGCATCTTGTGTTTCTGTATATGCCCGTTGCCTCTGGTCCTGTCACTGGGCACCACAGAAAGGAGCCTGGTTCCACCTTCTTTACACGCTCCCTTCAGGTATTTGTATACATTGACGAGATCCCTGCTGAA